CCACTCAGTTTACATAATTTTCAACCCATCCACCCAGATTGTTTTATATAGTTTCATTGTACACAATATATTCTGTATATTATGCACAAGAAAGCACACAAAATAAGTGTACAAACCAGTAATTTGTCACAAAACTTACTACCAGCATATACCACCACCCAGAAGAGAACATATATCTGCAACTCAGAAGTCTATTTGAGCCCACTCCCAATCAGTATCTCTCCCACCTCCTAAAAAGGTAACTATTATTCTAACTTTTACATAATTTTTTTCTTCTCTTTTTACTACTGGAAATTGAACCCAGGGCCTCACATATTCTAGGCAAATGCTCTACCATTGAGTTACACCACTAGTCCATTTTTTAGAGTTTTAAAAAATCCTTCTTGCCAGCATGGTGGTGCATGCCTGTAATCCCAGTGACTGGGGAGGCTGAAGAAGGAGAATCCAAGTTCAAAGCCAGCATCAGCAACTTAGCAAGACCTTGTCTCTAAATAAAAAATAAAATGGGCTGGGGATGTGGCTCAGTGGTTAAGAACCCCTGGGTTCAATTTCTGGTACCAAAAAACAAAAACAAAAACAAAACTTTCCTTCCTTCCTTCCTTCCCTCCCTCCCTCCCTCCCTCCCTTGGTGTGCTTTCCCACTGAGATACATCCCCAGCCCCCTTTTTTTTTTTTTGACACAGGTCTTGCTTAGTTGGTAAGGCTGAACTCAAACTGGCAATCCTCCTGCCTTTGTCTCCCAAGTAGCAGGGACTATAGGCTACTGATTCTGGTAAACTTTTCTTTAGAGTTATAATGCCCAGGTATGCATCTCTAAATTCCTTGGTTCAGTTTTGTCTTTCTTCTTGAGGGGAGAATAGCTTCTTTGGAACCTTGAAGAGAAACTTTTTTTTTTGTATGTTGGGGTTGAACCCAGGGTCTGTTCATGCTAAGCACATTTTCTACTACTGAGCTACCCTGCCAGACACCAAAACTTCTTTAGGTAATAGATAACATACACATAAAATTAGACAAATCTGAAGTATATAATTTTAGTGAGTTATCACAAGATAAAGACTTACATTTGGAGGGAAGGGAAGAATAGAAGTTCTTTGGACTAGACAAAGGAGAATGAAGGGAAGGGAGTGGAGATGGGAATAGGAAAGGCAGTAGAATGAATTGGACTAACTTTCCTATGTTCATATATTAATACATGACCAGTGTTTACTCCACATCATGTTCAACCACAAAAATGGGATTCTAATTAGAGTAAATTATACTCCATGTATGTTTAATATGCAAAAATACATTCTACTGTCATGTGTCTCTAAAAATAATTAAAAAAAAAACATCTCACATTTATATAACCATAACCTATTCAGGCTAAGAATAGAGCATCATAGTACCCAGAAGCCCCTCACATTCCCTCTCATTTTACATCTCTTCTGTTTTCCCCAAAGCAACTGTTTGCCGCTTTCTCTTTCTCTATCTCACTTATACATACAGGTATGCCTACATACAAAATCTATATATCATACATAGATTGCCTGTGGTTTGGTGTGTTTTCTTTCTGTTAATATTGTGAGTTTGATACACATTGTGTTATTTTCTTGGTTTATGGTATGATAATATTCACCATAACTTATTTATTCATTCTAATGTTGATGAATATCTGGGTTATTTTTATTTTTTTGTCTATTATAAATAGTTGCTGCTATGACCTATAGCTATTCTTTTTTTTTTTTTTTTTGGTATTGGGAATTAAACCCAAGGGTACTCTACCTCTGAACCATATCCCCAGCCCATTTAAAAATTTTTAAATTTTGAGATAGGGTCTTCCTAAATTTCACAGTCTGGTCTTAAACTTGACTTAGCCTCCTGAGTTGCTGGGATTATTGGTATGCACCACTGTTCCCAGCTCTGCTTTGAGCATTCTTTTTTTTTTTTTTTTTAAGATATATGTTTTAAGATATATATATATATATATATATATATATTTTTTTTTTTTAGTTGTACATGGACCCAATATTATTTATTTACTTTTATGTGTTGCCAAGGGTAGAACCCAGTGCCTCGTGTGTGAGAAGCAAGTGCTCTACTACTGAGCCACAATCCCAGCCCCTGCTTTGAGCATTCTTGTACATATCTTTTGGTACCCTTGTTTATGCTTTTCTTTTCTTTCTTTCTTTATTTTTTTTTTGGGGGGGTATTGTGACTATGGGTTGAACTCAGAAGCCTTTAACCACTGAGGCATATCCTCAGGCCTTTTTTTTTTTTTTAGTTGTAGACGGACACAATACCTTTTTAAAATTTATTTTTATGTGGTGCTGAGGATCAAATTCAGTGTGTCACACATGCTAGGTAAGCAGTCTACCACTGGGCTACACTCCAGTTCCCTCAGCTCTTTTTTTATGTTTTATTTTGAGACAGGATCTTGCTAAGTTGCTGAGGCTGGCCTAGAACTTGCAATCCTTCTGCCTAAACCTCCTGAGTTGCTGGGATTACAGGTGTTCACCACTATGTTCAGTTTGTTTGTTTGTTTCTTTCTTTCTTGCTTTCTTTATTTCCTTCTTTCTTTCTTTCCTTCCTTCTTTCCTTCTCTCTCTCTCTTTCTTTCTCTTTCTCTGTTTCTCTCTTTCTCTCTGTTTTTTCTTTCTCTTTTTCCTTTTTCTCTCTCCTCTCTCTTTTTCTTTTTCTCTCTCTTTCTCTTTCTTTCTCTCTCTCTGTTTCTCTCTTTCTCTCTTTATTTTTCTTTCTCTCTCTCTTTCTCTCTCTTCCTTCCTTCCTTCCTACCTTCCTTCCTTCCTTCCTTCCTTCCTTCCTTCCTTCCTTTCTTTCATTGGGGATTGAACCTGGGGCACTTTACCACTGAGCTATATCTTCTGCCTTTTTTAAGAAAAAATTTGTTTTGAGACATAGTCTCACTAAATTGCCCAGCCTGGCCTTAAACTTATGATTATCCTGCCTCAGCCTCCTGAGTCTTTGGGATTATAGGTATGCGCCACCATGCCCTGCTTGCATTTCTTTTAAGTATATGCCTAATAGTAGATTAAGAAGGAATCGAGTTTCATTTTCAAATATAGATATCCAGTTGAACCAGGACCATTTACCGAGAAAAGTGTTTTTTTTTTTTTTTTTTTTATCATTCTTCAGTGACAACTTTATTATCAACTTGAGTGTCTATATAGGCATGGATATGTTTCTAGGATCTGTTCTGTTGCACTGGTCTGTTTGTCTATCTTTGAACTAATAGAAGACTCACAATTACTGTAGTTTCATAGTAAGGCTTGATATTTTTCAATAGAGTCTTGGTTATTTTTGGCCTTTGTATTTCCATATAAATTTTAGAATTAAACTGGTGCAATGGTGCATACCTATAATCCCAGTGATTTGAGAGGCTGGAGGCAAGAGGATTACAACTTTGAGGTCAGCCTGGGCAATTTATTGAAATCCTGTCTGAAAAAAAAAAGGGGGGGGGCTGGGGATATAGCTTGGTAGTATAGCACTCCTGGGATCAATTCTTAGCACTGTAACTTTTAGAATTAGTTTCATAAAACCATCTTGGATTGTATTGACTCTATAGACTATTGTATTTATTGACTGTATACGATAGGCTGAGAATTTTCCAAAGCTTTTCTTTTCTTTCTTTCTTCTTCTTTTTTTCTTTTTCTTGCAGTGTTTGATATTGAATCCAGGGGCTCGTGCATGCTGGGTAAGTGCTCTACCATTGAACTTACCCCTAGGCCCAAATTTTCCTAATCTTTATTATGATTAGTTTTTTCTAATTCCGTCTTTGATTCATTTCTTTCTTTTTGCATTTTACTATAAGCCGTCAAGAAAAATTAAGCTGCTCCTTCAACGTTTGCTTAGAAATTTCTTTAGTCAAATATCCAATATATTTCCTATTTCCTGTTCTCAGGATCACTCACTTTTTTTTTTCTTTAGTCTTTGTAAGATCTTCTTTTCTTTAGTCTCACTGTATTCTTTTTTTTTTTTTTTTTTTTTTGTGGTGCAAGCGAGGCAAGCACTCTACCAACTGAGTTATATCCCCAGCCTTCACTGTAATATTAAACATGTTATCCTAATGTGTCTGATAATTTCAGTACTTAAAGTCCCTGTGGATGTTTTTTTATTGTCAGTTATTGCTGTTGTTTTTCTGTTCCTGTTGTTTAGTGTCTTAGTGATCCTGAAAAGTTTTGATTGTGTGCTTGATGATACATTTGCAAAATTGATTATAGAAATTTGGAGCTCAGGACTCTCCAGGGACATTAGCACTCTAAGATCATTTTGACCTGATTGCAGGGGCTGAGATGATTAGAAGCTCCTTTCTTCTCAAGAAACAGCTTTTCAGTCACAGTACAAGTGAATGAGTGTCATCAGGGCCACCCACCCTTGTAAGGCTCCTTGTCACCTTGGCCTCTTGAAGCTCCAGATGTGCTAGTTGACTTCCCAGCTGCTAACTCCCCTAGGAGAAGAAAGACCTTGGGTATGATGCATATTTATGATCTTTGTTACCAACCTTACTGCCACTGGGTCCCAGCTGTGTATTCTCCATGTCATTACCCTCCAATGCTTTCAAACTGATTATTTATTTATTTATTTATGCAGTGCTGAAGATCAAACCCAGGGCCTAGCTCATGCTAGGCAAATGTTCTGTCCTAGAGCTGGCACAGTGGCACATGCCTGTAATCCCAGGGGTTCCGGAGGCTGAGATAGGAGGATTGAGAGTTCAAAGACAGCTTCAGGAGTGGTGAGGTCCTCATCAACTCAGTGAGACCTGTCTCTAAATAAAATACAAAATAGGAGATGTGGCTCAGTGGTCCAGTGCCCCTGTGTTTAATGCCTGGTACAAAAAAAAAAAAAAAAAATTCTACACGGAGTTAATTTTCAGCTCCACACTGATTTTTTTTTTTTTTTTAATATGAAAGTCACACTTTCAATATCAGGTGCCACTCATTGTACCTTGAGTGTGTCTTCTTGAAAAGAATATACAATTGTCAAATAATCTTTTAAGAACTACACAAAATATGGACCACTTCACAATTTTTCATGTCATCCTTGTGCAGGGGCCATGCTAATCTTCTCTGTATTGTTCTAATTCTAAAATTGAAGGGAGCAGCCCACAGTGATTTTGGGGGGTTGGGGGTACTGGGGATTGAACCCAGAAGCATTTCACCACTGAACCCTTTTATTTTATTTTATTTTTTTATTTTGAGACAGAGTTGCTTAGTTGCTAAGTTGCTTAGGACCTAAGTTGCCAAGGCTGGTCTGGAACTTGTGATGTTCCTGCCTCAGCCTCCCAAGTTGCTGGGATTACTGGCATGCACCGCTGAGCCTAGCTGGAATTGGCTTTAAAATAATTCAGAAAAGGGGGACTGGGGCTGTAGGTCAGCAGTAGAGCACATGCCTAGCATGCAAAAGGCCCTCAATTTGATCCCCAGTACTGCTGAAACATAATTGTAATCCAGGTTAAAAAAAAAAAGTAGTAGGAGGTATATGAAACAACAGAGTCCTGGTAACTATGGAAATGAGTGAAAGATACATAGCTCCCCTGAGTTCAATCACTGGTAACCCCCCTCCCCCCCCAAAAAAAAAGCCAATTCCAGAATTACAAAAATTTCTCCTTAACTGTTAGCTTTCTTCGTTAAAAATGAGGCCTTTAGACTTAAAATCAAAATACTATAGTGATGCAGCCACGTCAATATTTATAGCAGCTCAATTCACAATAGCTAAGCTATGGAACCAATCTAGATGTCCTTCAATAGATGAATGGATAAAGAAAACGTGGTATATATATATTCAACATATTTTATATATATATAATATATATATATTATTTTATATATATATATTACTCAGCTTGAAAGAAGAATGAAATTATGGCATTTGCTGATAAATGGATGGAGTTGGAGAATCATGCTAAACAAAATAAACCAATCCCCAAAACCAAAGGCTGAATGTGTTCTCTAATATGTGGTTGATAATTCACAATAAATGGGGGAACTAGAGAAGTAGAGTTACCTTAGATTAGGTGGAGGGAAGGGAAGGGGTGGGGAGGTGGGGATAGGAAGGATAGTAGAACAAAACAGACATTATTGCTTTATGTATATATGTGACTGAATGACCAATGTGATTCCACAACATATACACTAAGAAAAAGGAGAAATTATATCACAGCTATGTATAATATATAAAAGTGCACAAATTCAGTCTACTATCATGTATTTTTTTAAAAAATTTTTAAAAATGAGGTCTTTATATTTTTATTTATTTATTTTATTTTAGGTGCACTTAACCACTGAGCACAACCCCAATCCTTTTCATTTTTTTTATGTTGAGAACAAGGTCTTACTAAGTTGGTTAGGGCCTCACTAAGTTGCTGAGACTGGCTTTGAACCTGCGATCCTCCTGCCTCAGTCTCTCAAGTTGCTGGGATCGAAGGCATGCTCTACAGTGCCAGGCTAAAATGAATTCTTTAAAAAGAAATATGACTACCATATCGGTGACATATTTGGCATAATTAACAGTAACTCTGTAACTTTCAATATTAGTGTGTGATCAGTTACTTCTCCTATCTTTCAGAATGCCTTTCCAGAGGTGGTTTGTTAAAGTCAGAATCCAGACAAAATTATTTTATTAATTAATTTATTTTTACAGTGCTGGGAATTGCATCGAGCCTTATATATGCTAGGTGTGTGCTTTACCACTAAGCTATACCCTCAGCCTTAGGTTACCATTTTAAATATATGTATTGTACCTTTGATTTTCCCTTTTTTTTCTACTTTTTTCCTCTGTTTTGTATCTTTTTCTTTTCCTTAATTAGTCTTGCTAGAGGTCTTTCAGCTTTAGATTTATCTTCTCTATTATTTTCTGTGGCTGTTATTTACTGTTCGGTTTCTTCCTTGTTTTTTGGGGGGTTTTCTCTATTACTTTCATTTTTTTTTAATGGTACTGGGAATTAAACCCAGGAGTGCTCTACCTTGGAAATTTTATATTTTTTATATTAAGTTTTATATTTATTTATATTTATATTAAGTTTTATATTTGCAGAGAGATTCTTGCTAAGTTATACATATCTGACTCCAATTTTTTATTATTGTGCCTCAGCCTCTTGAGTAGCTGGGATTACAGGCACGCACCACTGTGCCATACTGTGTTGCTTTCACGTTTATCTTCTTGAGTTCAATAGTCTTATATATTTTTTTTAAACTTTGGTCTTGGAGATTGAACCCAGGGGTACTTTACCAGTAAGCTACACCTTTTTTTTTTTTTTTTTTTTTTTTTAATTTTGAGACAGCATCTTGCTAAGCTGCTTAGGGCCTTGCTAAATTGTTGCTGCTGGCCTTGAACTTGTGATCTTTCTGCTTTGACCTCCCAAGTCAATGGGATTATAGGTATGCACCACCATGGCCAGCCAATCTTGTTTATTTTTAATCTTTTTTCTTTCCTGATAAATTCTACTAAAAGTATAACTTTCCCTTCAAGAACTACTTAAGCTATATTTCATGAATTTTGATCTGTACACTACTTTTTTTAATAATTTTTTATCTATATATTTGTTAATTTCCTTCATGATTTCTTATTTAACACACTATAATTCACAAGTTTTTTAAAAATTTGTCTTTTGGAATCATGTTAATTAAGTATGTGGGGTGTGTGTGTGTGTGTTGTTTTTTAAGCACTTCTTTTATTTGTTTACTTATTTATTTATTTGGTACCAGGGATTGAACTCAGGGGCACCCAACCCCACTGAGCCACATCCGCAGCCCTATTTTGAGACAGGGCTGCTTAGTGCCTCCCTGTTACTGAGGCTAGCTTTGAACTCAATCCTCCTGCCTCAGCCTATTGATCTACTGGGATTACAGGTGTGCACCACTGGGCCCAGCCCTTTCTTGTATTTTTAACTTTGTGACAGCATAGTCTCCTGTTATTGGTTTGTAACCTTACCCTATGTGGTTAGAAAAGATATGTTGTATATCTGTCTTTTGAGAACTACTGAGACTTATTTTGTAACCTTATATGTGGTGTGTCCTGGATACTGTCCCTGGTGCGCCTGAGAAGAATGTGTGACATTGCAGTGTGAGATTTGGTGTGTGTAATAGCTCTTCTGGAGACCTTGAAAACTACCAGTACATGATAGCTTTGGTTCATGTTATGTTTATGCACTAAGATACTGTGTTTGTTCCTGGTATGCAGGTGGGGTTCAAGTGGGTTTCTTATGAGCTTCCTTCTTTGCAGTGCACCCATCCACACGGAGCCACTGGAGCAGCTGGGCTCAGCGCTGAGGTTTGGATCTGGCTTTGACAGCGACCCCATGTCAGGGTAAATAAAACTGTGGTGCAGCTTCCTGGTAGAGGTGACAAGTGGGCTTGGTGAGACCTGTAGGGGTGGGATGGTGCAGTCAATGCAGTGGGGCCCCAATGAAGTTGTCATCATATCTGACCATCAGAACTTTTATTTACATTTTTTGTACCAGGGATTGAACCCAGGTGCACTTAACCACTGAGCCACATTTCTAGCCCTTTTTAATTTTTGATTTAGAGAGAGTCTCACTAAGTTGCTTAGGGCCTATATATATATAAGTTGCTGACGCTGGCTTTGAATTTGTGATCCTCCTGCCTCAACCTCCTGTGCCACTGGAATTATAGGTGCACAGCACCGTGCCTGACCACCAGGACCTTTAACTCTTATGTTGAAGAATTGTCTTCCTTAATGTGTTGGGGTGGGGGGCAGCTGTGATGGGGTGGGGCAGCGGTGACTGATAGGCTTAGGTGAGGGCTGCAGTGATAAAATGTGAGGTAATGATGGTTGTTTTAGTCAGCTTTTTTTGCTGCTGTAACTAAAGGACCTGACCAGTACAACTGTAGAGTAGAAAAGATTTATTTGAGGGCTTATGGTTTCAGAGGTCTCAGTTCATAGAAGTCCAGCACCATTCCTTGGGGTTCCAGATGAGGCTGAATATCATGGCAGAAGAGTGTGGCAGAGGGAAGTGGCTCACATGATCAGAAAGCAGAGAGAGAGACTCCACTCTTCAGATATAAAATATATACCCCAAAGCCATGCCCCAATTCCCACCTCCTCTAGCCACACCCTACCACTTCAGTTATCACTCAGTCAATCCTTATCAGGGGATTAAATCACTGATTGGATTAAGATTTATAGCCCAATCATTTCTCCTCTGAACCTTCTTGCATTGTCTCACACAATGAGCTTTTGGGGGACACCTCACAGCCAAACCATAACAATCATGATGGTCATAAGGGCAGTGGTGATCAGATGAGGCGATGGTCAGTGGTGGCAGTCATGGTGGTGGGGTAATGATGGCTATGATGGGGGCAATGATAGGGGCAGTGAGTGTGGTGATAGGGTGATAATGGTGGGGCAGAGGTGCTGGGAGAGCAGATGCCATGGTTATTGTATCAGAGTTTATGGATCTTAGTCACTAGTCACTATGTTGAGACCCTCATCTCAGGGGACCTAGAAGCAACCCTGTTCCCCAAACTCCAGTCCCCTTGACCAGGCTCCTGTCCTGTCTTGTCACCACCATTACAGGTGTTGAAACGCATGTTTGTGTGGGTAGAGTGAGCATGCAGCCACGTGTGCATGTGTTTTCTGAATGGAGTCTGTTTCCTGAGCTGTCTCCTGCCCTGATGTGTCTGTAAGTTCCTTTCAGCAGAAGGGGCCCACTCAGGCCTAGTTGCCCCTTTGTTTTCCTTCCCTCCCTCCTTCCTTCCTTCCTTCTTCCTTCCTTCCCTCCTTCCTTTCCTCTTTTGTAGTCCTGGGGACTGGTTGTTCTTTTGGCAGGACAGGTACTGAGACCTCAGTGAGCTCTTCCACATCCAGGGAGAGCCCTCATGCAGGAACATGGGCTTTCAGGTGGCCCCATAGGATATTCTGATACCCAGCTATTGTAGACCTGGGGGCAGCCAAGACTGAGCTTCAACTTGAGTATAGTGGGTACTATAGAGGGTTGTGTGCAGTGCTGGGGTCTATGTGGTATTTTAGGAAGAGGACCACTCTGGCTCCTCTAGAGGATGAAAAGAGCAGATGGAGTGGGTATGGCAGCCAGCCAGTGGAAGTAGCTGTGGCCAGCTGGCCAGAGGTGTTGGAGGTGAGCGGGGAGAGAGTACTTGAGGGGAAGGATAGGGAGAGGGGGAAGATGGAGTCTGGTCTTTAGCAGCTGCCAGCCAGCAAGACACAAGAGGGTGGACAGACATAGGGGATGCCCTGGTCTCTTCTTTGGAGACCGGGCTGGGCATCCATCCCTGTGTGGGGATACAGGACATATGCAGGATAAGTCCTACTCATGGGTTTGGGGTGAAAGACTCATCCCAGATCCTTTGGGTGAGAAGAGTGAGAAAAATGTTGAGGATTGAATCTGAGGGTCAGCGGTGTTTGAGAAATGGCAGCAGGAGGAGATGAGAGAAAGGGTTCAGAGAGGGGAGAGAACATCGGGAAGTTCAGGAAGGTAGTATTGTAAACTGCACTGTGAGTTGGGGACATCACCTTGGCAGAGGCATGGTGCCCTTGGCAAAAGCTGTTCAGTGGAGTAGATTGAGAATTGAGTTGAAAGTGTGTACAGTGAGACAGCTCCCTGGAGAGACTTGGCAGTGAACAGAGGAGTGAGATAGGAATTGGAGGAGGAATTAGTGTGCAGGACTTTATTGGCAGTGGTGGAGACTTGAGCTGTGAGAGTACAGAGGTGATGACATAGAATAAGGAGTCTTTTTCTTTTTTCTTTTTTTTGATACTGGGGATTGAACTCAGGGGCACTTGACCACTGAGCCACATCCCCAGCCCTATTTTGTATTTTATTTAAAGACAGGGTCTCACCGAGTTGCTTAGTGCCTTGCTTTTTGCTGAGGCTGGCTTTGGACTTGTGATCCTCCTGCTTCAGCCTCCAGAGCTGCTGGGATTACAGGCATGTGCCACTGTACCCTGCTATCAATGATACTTTTGTGAACACCCTCAGGTGGTTGCCTTTCCGAGACCCTAGGAGACACCCTTTCTGCTGGGTATTCCTGTGTACCATCCTTGGCTGAGGGCTCTGTTTGCCTACTAGAGGGTTGGTTCTTTGGTGGAGGTCCAGCTCCTGCTGCCCCGGCTATGGCCAGGTTCTTGGGAGAAGCCTAGAAGAGGAAAGGCCCTGTGGGCCAGAGGTCTGCACCAGTTCTGCCCCCATTTTCTCTTATCAGCTTTCCTTTTTTCCTCATCTTGAGCCCTCACCTATGGCCCTCATCTCTGGGTTACTTCTTGGGTTCCCGAAGAATGAGGCACCAGGTTCTTAAGAGCACAGGGACCTGGAAGAGCCCAGACCTGCCTCACCTTGAGACATCACACCCTGCTTGGGTTGTGTCCTCCTTCAACGTGGACCTTGGCTTCCCACAGTATGGCCGTGTGGTCTGCATCCACTTGGTGTGTTTCCTCTTTAGAGTTTTGTTGGTCCCCATATCACTGTTGTTTTGGATCCTGATTTCATTGTCCTGTCCCAGCTCCTTGCCACTCACAGGACTACTGGACTTGACTGATATGTTTTCAAGGACCTGAGTAGTAGAATCTCTGGTCATAGTAACCGGGGGGCCAGTCACTATTGACCCTCTGCCCTGACTCTGCTGTGACGATGAGCAGGAAAGACAGGTCCATGAGGTGAGATGTGAGAGCATCATGAACCTGGGCTGTCTTCCTGACCTCAAAGTGTTCTTTCTGTGGTTCTTAGGCCCACGTACTGCGTTATAGACTGTCTGGTGTCTTGCCAGTATCATGGGTTGTCTTAGTCCAAAGACAGCTCTTTTATTGTCTAAACACTGGGCATCTGCCACCTCCTGGAGGCCCTCAAGCCCCAACCCTACCTGGGCTGTTCGCTCCATTGGTCTCCTGCTTAGGCTGACTCTGCCTTCTGAACTTGATCTTCAGACTCCTTGATTTTGGCTTGACCCCCATTTTGGGGACGCCCCTTCCTTCCTATTGGTGGTGTAGTTCCATTAATTCTGAAACCTGATGTGGCCATGGTCCTCTGCCACATTTTGCAGCCGCTCTTGAGTGTTGCTTGGTTTCCTCAGAGCATCATGCCTGACAGTTCTGCCAGGGGCTGCCCTTGGGGTCCCTGAGTGAATTTATTAATTCATTTATTAGGAACCTGCTATGTTTTAGGCCCTGGAAATATAGTAATTGCCTAAGGCAGGCGTAAGATGCAGTTTATCAAGTGCTCACACAAAGGAATTATTATTATTATTATTTTTTTTGGTGGGGAGGTGGTTTACCAAGGACTGAACTCAGGGGTACTGGACCACTGAGTTATATCCCCACCCCTGTTTTGTATTTTATTTAGAGACAAGGTCTTGCTGAGTTACTTAGTGTCTTGCTTTTGCTAAGGCTGGCTTTGAACTCATGATCTTCCTGCCTCAGCCTCCCTAGCTGCTGGGATTACAGGCATGCACCACTGCGCCCAGCACAAAGGAATTCTTTTTCTTTTTTTTTTTTTTTTATTGGTTGTTCAAAACATTACAAAGCCCATGACATATCATCTTTCATACATTTGATTCAAGTGAGTTATGAACTCCCATTTTTACCCCAAATACAAATTGCAGAATCACATCAGTTACACATTCACAATTTTTACATAATGCCATATTAGTGACTGTTGTATTCTGCTGCCTTTCCTATCCCCTACTATCCCCCTTCCCCTCTCCTCCCATCTTCCCTCTCTACCTCATCTGCTGTTGTTCAATTCTCTCCCTTGTTTCCCCCCCCCTCCCCTCACAACCTCTTCTATGTAATTTTATGTAACATTGAGGGTCTCCTACCATTTCCATATGCTTTCCCTTCTCTCTCCCTTTCTCTCCCCCCACTCGTCTCTGTTTAATGTTAATCTTTTCCTCATGCTCTTCCTCCCTGTTCTGTTCTTAGTTGCTCTCTTTATATCARAGAAGACATTTGGCATTTGTTTTTTAAGGATTGGCTAGCTTCGCTTAGCATAATCTGTTCTAATGCCATCCATTTCCCTGCAAATTCTATGATTTTGTCATTTTTTAGTGCTGTGTAATACTCCATTGTGTATAGATGCCACTTTTTTTTTCCATTCATCTATTGAAGGGCATCTAGGTTGGTTCCACATTATAGCTATTGTGAATTGTGCCGCTATGATCATTAATGTGGCAGTATCCCTATAGTACGCTCTTTTAAGATCCTCRGGGAATAGTCTGAGAAGGGCGATAGCTGGGTCAAATGGTGAGGAATTCTTGTTTACATATTGAGGTAGAAAGGAACTTAATTCTGTAAAAGCATTTGACAAGAAGCCTGACCTCATCTGTAGGGAGCTGATGCTTTGAACTGAGGTTTGAAGAGCGAGAAGGAATTAATGATGTAGGAGTGAGGATGGAGGGAAGAAAAGCACCCACCAGGCAGAAGGACCTGCTTGTGCAAAGGCCCTGAGGTAGGACACAGCATAGTACTTTCAAAAACTGAAAGGTTCATGTGACTGGAGCACAGACAAGGAGGGAGTGTGAGAGTCCCAGATCATGACAGACTTTGTAGATCTAACAAGGAGTTTTATTTAAATTTTTAGTTAAAAATTGGAAATTTCTTTATTTTAAGTTTATGTCTAGTTAGACAAACTCCAGAATTTTTTCTTCTTTAATTGTCAACTATAATATACATACAGAAAACTACACATATACCCATAATTTAGCAAGTACTTTACTTATAAAGCAAATTACTGTTTCCAACAGCTAGAAGAGTCATAGTGTACATTTGAGCAGGGGGTGCCATGGTCAGACCTGGTAGGATGGTGCAGTGGGGTGGCAACTGCCTCTTATCTTAGTAAGGCCAAATAGAAGCTTGGAGAGTATGCTGGTAGAAGAGGAGAAGCAAAAGGGACCTGCTGGAAGTATCCTGTTTGTCATCCAGGGCCCTAGGGTTGTGCTGGAGGGGGTAGGTGGATGAAGGTGCTCATCTGGGAGAATGGCTGCAACAGAGTAGGCAGTAGGGTGGTGAGGAGCTAGAGGTGAGCTTGTGTGTTGTTCAGGCATGCCCAGGCTGGGGCATCTCTCAGATCCCCCAGTGGAGCTATTCTGGGTAGCAGACAGCTGAGGCAAGTGAGGATCAAAGGCGGCTCTGGAAAGGCTTGGCTTCTCCTTCTCCCCCTTAGTCCCCTCCTGGCTGCTGGCACCTGGGCCATGACTGTGTCTTTAAGAGGGTGGCTCCAGGGCCTCTTGTGTCTGTCCTTCCTGCCGCTGACGTCAGGGATGGGCAGGACCGAGGAGGCGATTTGCTTTTCTTTTCCTTGAAAGGGGAGGAGATTGAAACTGAGTGGCCTCTCTTGAAAAGGGGAAATTCCAGGCATGCAGGAAGCCCTAGGGTGAAGGCGGAGGCTAACATGGGGTGAGCTTGGGTGCCATTCTTTAGAGACTGAGACAGGAAACAGAGCTTGCTCCAGAACTGACGCTGGCTCTGCCTGGGCATATCATTGATTGTGTATGAATGTGTGTTCCTACATTCCTGCCTCTAGCTGGGCAGGGAGACAGCTATGGTCTGATGGTCCTGTCTTAAGGGCTTGTACTGGCCACTTGGTGGTGATGGCTCCCATCCTGGGAGCTTGCCTGGGTGCTTTTGAGCCTAGAGTGTGCAGAGCCTATTCTTTGACTAGGGAGCCCAGCCATACTGAGAGTGTGTTGCCCCTCTGGGCTGTGAACTGGAAGCCCATGTTGGGGTAGGGTGGGACCCACACCCTCCCTGGCCTCCAAGGGGCACATGCCCTGTAGCTAACAAAGCTATTTCCAACTTTGAATGTATATGTAGTGCATTTATTTACCAAGCATTTACCTTCTATAAGAATACTTTGGGGCCCCTGGGAACATGGGAGGATAGTAAGGGGCCCTGTCTGTCTTTGGAAGTCTGTGTTGGTGAACTTTCTACCCTGCTTTTTCACAGGGCAAGCCCTCATTCTGTGGGCACCTGGGTTGGTCAGGGAAGACTCTTACAGAGACCACTGCTCTGCTCTGTCCACTCTGCCCCTCCAAATCATCCTGTCTACTTTTAGCTTTCTCATCTAGGAAGGAACCATGCCACAGTACCTGGCTTGTGGCACGTTCCTGAGAGCCATCTGCTTTGTGGTTGCAGGGGCGGGGGTGGTGATGGACAAGGTGTATATGCAGGGTGGCTCCCCTCCTGAGAGGGGAGCAGAGGACAGACCCTGGGCTAGGAGCTTTACAGAGCTCCTAGTTCACAAATAACCCCATTTTACATGTGAGGAAACTGACACTGAGACAGGTTCAACTACACAACTAGGAAGTTTCGGTATCTATATTGCTTAGAGTCTTTTTTGGTAAGAGGGATGTTCCTTGGAGCAGTTGAGGTATGGACTGCTTCTCCTGGGGAGGGGGAGGGGCCTTGGGTCATGACCAGCTCTTTGGCAGGTTTGGAGCAACTGTAGCCATCGGCCTCACCATCTTTGTGCTCTCTGTTGTCACCATCATCGTCTGCTTCACCTGCTCCTGCTGCTGTTTGTACAAGATGTGCCGCCGACCACGTCGTAAGCATGCCCCACACCCCACCCCTCATCCTACCGGGACCCTTCTTCTGTGCAGGTCCAGATTCCTGGATAGGCAAGGGCAGCTGACCAGAGCCCTATTTTGGCCAAGCTGGAGGGATGAGGGGCAAGCCAACCTCAAGACCTGGGGAACTGGAGTGTCTTAACTGGGATTCTCTTTGCAGCCGTTGTGACCACCACCACTGCCACCACTGTGGTGCATGCACCTTACCCTCAGCCTCCAAGTGTGCCCCCCAGCTATCCTGGACCAACATACCAGGGCTACCATCCCATGCCCCCGCAGCCAGGGATGCCAGCAGCACCCTACCCGACACAGTACCCACCACCCTATCCAGCCCAGCCCATGGGCCCACCAGCCTACCATGAGACCTTCGCTGGTGAGTACCACTGCAAATTCTGTGACCCTGCCTGCCCCTCAGCTCATGCCTGTACCTCCGTATCCCAGGGTATGTCATTGGATGTTTCTGTCCCTTTCTGCTAGCCAGCCCATTTGCATTACAGCCCACTGTGCCACAGCTAACCAATGTCCTCTTTACTTTCAGGAGGTGCAGCCATGCCATACCCTGCCAGCCAGCCTCCTTATAACCCAGCCTACATGGATCCCCCAAAGGCAGCCCCCTGAGTTTGCCTCTCTAGCTGCCACTTGATTATGTTGTGTGTGAGTGGTGTGCAGGCACAGTTCTTTACTGCCCTGTGTGTGGTGTGTGTGTCCTGTCTAGGCACGTGGCTTCCTCTGATACTGACCAGGTAGGGAACAATCCTTGCCAGAGTAGGCTGGGACCAAATTTTTGCTTCCTCACTTGAAATCATGCTTCCTGAAACCTCAAGCATATTCAAAGAATGGGTCTTTTCCAACTCACTCCAGGGTTACCAGGTTCAGTCTGTCACATTAGAATTGAAATTTTTATGGGCACCATGGGCCATGTATTCTGGTTTTAGGAATGGCCAGTTGCTGCTCAAAATCCTGGCTTTTTCCTAGGGTTTGGGTTACCCTTTGCAGAGCCTGTGCTGTGAAGCAGGCAAGTAGACAAAGTATGGGATTTGGCTGAAGCTCAGTGCTTTGGGTAGGTGTCCCTGGAGTGGGTGCCATACTCAGTGGAGGTTGGTCGGCTCCTGATGTCAACACACCCCAAGCACAGTCCCATCTACCTGACAGCCCTCTATCTGGACTGTCCTTCCATCCTTCCTGCAGGGCCAGATGCACTCATGATTCCTACCACCAATGGGGAAGCTGTCCCCCTTGCTGCCCAGCCTCTGCCACAGGTGGGCAAGGGGGCCTGTCCACCAACACACTCAGGTATCCTTCCTGCAGTGTTTTTTACTTTTAGCCAAATGTTTTGCCTGTTTTCTGTTTTAAGATGTGTGATAGTTGATGTGAAGCTGAAATGTATGGAGAGAAATTGATCCACAACCTAACCTCTGATACTCTGTTTCCCCTGGTCCTAGCCTGATAGGAATATCCAACTCATATACCCCAATCTATAGTTGTCCTGGCAGTAGGGACACCAGGGCCAAGGGACCATCTGGACCAAAGGTGAGGGTTGGGGGCTTGGGTGGCAGCTCTGACCCAGATACAAATACCTCGGTGTACCCTGCCCCTGTTAATGTTTGACCAGGTCTGTTTTAGCTTTCAATCTGTTAATGTGTTTCTAAGAGTCTAGAGTCTGCACCCTTGTTTATAATAAAAACAAATATTTAGAGCTGCCGTCTTCTTTTTTTTTTTTTTTTTTTTTCAGAGCCTTAGTAACTGGGATTGAGCCTTAGGCTGAGTATTGTTTCCATTCACTATTTGGATATATGTATTTTCCCTACTTTTACTGGGCTCAAAGGTTTGCTTATTTTGTGAAGAGAGTAAGGGACAAGGACTACTCCCCAAGTCCCTAGTACAGGTAGAGGCTCCAGCTGCCAAGGAAGCTAGGAGGCAAATGACTACTCAGTGTTGAGGGGGGTCTTTATTAGATTTTCCTTCTCAATCTACTGCCCAGGTGTGGCCAGGGATAGTCCATACAATGTGGCTATCGCCAAGGTGAGGAAGGCCAGCAGGCCCAGAGGGGCCAGCAGCCCCTCCCGGGGTGGGTTTCCAGGGACTATTGTTGAAGTAACAGCCTTGGGTTTTCTGCTTTCACCAATTCTGGGACTAGCATTCTTGGTAGTGGCTAAGGGTGTAGTGGCTGTGACCGCAGACCGTTTTGGGTTGGTCCCAGAAGAGGCCGTGACCCCATACATGGGCCTGATGGTGCGAAAGGGCTTGGCATGAGTATCCACCCACTGCAGCAGGGCCTTTGGCTTCCACTGACATATGCTAAGCAGAGCTAAAACATCACCCTCAGCCGTGTGTGAGTCCACTGGGGCCTGCCCATATAGGCGGGTATAGATACTGCCCAGGCTGTAGCTCTTCCTTGGGCCATGCTCTGAGGGGCTGCTAGTTTGTTCCAAGGCCTTCAGGGCAGCAATGCTGTCCACACAGAAAGCACCATCCAAAATACTGGCAAGACCCAGCATAGCCAACTCTGCCTGGAGCAGGGGGAAGTCGTAGCGGTCACCGTTGTGTGCCACCAGGCACCAAGGCTGTGGCTGGCGCTGCAGGAAGGCTTGGAGCAGGTTGGCCAGGTTGTTATCAAAGCGTTGACGCCCATGTGCTGTGAGCACAGCTGTGCTCAGACCTGTGATCTCGCTGGCTGCAGGACTGCAGGCTTTCCCAGGAGCCACACACAGTGAAAGCTTGTCTGCCACGCGTGGTGGCAGGGGCACTGTGGGTGGTGACCCTTGAGAGGTGAGAGTATTCTCCAGGGCACATCTGTGGACAGCCAGCAGGCACAACTCCGTGACCTTGGGTTGGGAGAACGGCAGGCCGGTGGCCTCCAGGTCCAAGAAGATGAGGGTCTGCATGGGACCAGGAGGTGGGGCCTGTGAGCCCATGCTGGGGTAGGTACCTGCTGCTGTGCCTGGGAAGGAGCATGAGGTTGGAGGTGGAGCATGTGAATGCAAGGGAAAGATCTGAAGTGAGCAGGCTCTGGGGGCAAGGGTGGGAGGAGAGTGGGCATAAGTACATTGTAGGTTTTGCCTGCACAGTCAGGCACTGTCTGAGAGCTCTAGAGCCCATTTTCAGGGCAGGAAGTTGGTGAGGGTGGGGTAGCTTCCTTAGAGGATGACTGTACTTTTGGGGAAGGTTCCCTCTTCCTCACATGGGTTTGGTCCCGCCCTTAGTGCCCACCTAGTACTATGTGGGGGAAACCCATGACATTCTTGCCCTGCCCCATCCCCTTGGGGGTCCACACTTACCGGAATAGGGAGGCAGCAGTGACTAGGAAGAGTCAGGCACGCACACTCTTGCTGGCCCTGCTGTTGGCAGCAGTGGCGGGAAGTGAAGCTGGGTCTGGGCCCGTCTGTGAGCCTGCCTCGTGAGCAAGGCCCGCCCTGCTCATCAGCTTGCCTAGTCTGTGCCTCTTTTGCTAAAACCCCTCCCTCCCCAGGCATCCCAGAAGATCTGCTCAGATCCACAGCTGTGGGCCTGCTGGCTGACATTGTGCACGGGGGCCCTCATGCTGCTGAGAGCACACAGAGAAGACAGCTGCCTCAGCTGTCTCCAGGTGCCAGGCTAGTTCCAGGTCTCAAGCAATGCTGTGAGCCCCTGCCATGGCCCTTTTGTGCCTAGTCCTTGGCCTACTTTCCCAGGTTTAGTTCTGGCCTAGGGCAGCCTCCTATCTGCCACACAATGGTTTCTCCCCACGGCCCCAGCCAAAGCAATGACTCAGGACAATTCCACCAACAGGCCAGGGCTTTCCTCAAGGCAGATTAGTTACCATGGGGACCGTCTCAGTTCCAGCCAGGGAGATGGTGGGGGAGGCGTCTAGTCTTCCTGGGTCCCCGTCCAGTTCCTTCCCTCCCACTCAGCCAAACAGATCAGAGAAACAACGCATTCTCGGCAGGAACTGCCGGTCATTGCTTTTAATCAGAGGATGTGGTGTGTGAGGAAAGCAGCAGTGCTGGTGCCCCCTTGTGGCAGGATGCTCAGGGCCTCAGCCACAGTCCATTTCAGGGTCCTCCATGTCTGTCTCCGTGGCACAGAGGTCATCCAGGGCTGCCTCTGAGCCAAAAGGAAGAGGGAGGGTTCAATGATGAAGGCCTGAAGGTGCTAGGTAGGACCTGGGGGAAGTCCCACCTGTCCTCCCCCAGCACCTGCAGGAACTAACCAGTCCCTTCCATGCCCAGGCCTTGCTCCCTCAGCTATTATGAGCAAAGTGATAACAAAGGCAATTCAGATCAGGATATTCTGGAAAAACCGTGGCTCTGCCAGGCCAATTCAACAAATATGGGCAAAGGGCAGCCCAATATTTTCAGAAGAGCCACAGCATGCAGGGCAGAAGGTCCTTTGAATAGGAATCTCACTTGCTCACAAGGATCAGGGAGAACCCACACGTGGGCTTATTGGCTCACCTTCACAGTCAGTCACGTCAGGAAGCCCTCGAATCAGCATGCTGACCCCTGGCATCACCTGGTCATACTGATGCAGGACTTCCACACAGTGCACAGTAAAGAGCTTGTCCTTCTGGGACAGACTGTGCAGGAGCAACACTGTGTCTCGCAGACACCGCACTGTCCGCTTCTGCTGGTCAGTCTTTGGGAGCCCCCCTGCCCTTTGCATGGTCAGCCACTGTCTGTGCAGCATCACTGTGAGAACTCTAACCACCTGGAGTGAGAAAGTGTGCAGACTGAGGTTTCCAACCTTTCTGTGCCCTAACACCCTGTTCAGCCTAGCTGCCCCAGGGGAGCAGGGCTCTAAGTAGGTCTTRTGCAAGGTTCCTTTATCCACAAACAGAGCTGCCGTGTTGTTGGCACTGGATACTCACCTCTACATTGCATTGACAGTCAGAGCCAGTGACTGTGGCGGGAGGGCTATACACACCCAGTTTGGCCAGGAGCCACACTGCCTGGAATAAAAAAAAGATTCTATTTTATCCTGTCAGAATAAGACCCTTGTCACTGTGCAAGGGCTCTTTCAGGCATCTCCTACAAGAGCTCTAGCTGCTTTGGCAACTGCTTGTCTGTACAAATGGGGTCTTAGAAGCAGTGGTATGGGGTTTCCAGGCTAGACTCAGAACTAGCACCTGAATTTCACCAATAACCCGCCTGCCTCCAGACTCATTTCCAACTACCAGGCCCCAAAGCCAGGATAGCATCAATTATCAGGTAACTCAGCTGAGTCCCATTACAACCTGTATTGCATCTGTGTGGGGAGTGCCTAAATGAGTTGCTTGATAAGCTGCAAGCTGCTTGATAAAAACTCTTGTTACCAAAAAGAATTAGTCCCCTTTCTCTCCAGAGAGGAGGGGAGAATTTGTGGTCTTTTAAGATGGAGTGATGAGCAATCTCCATAAGGTTCCCTGTTTTACCTCTTGTTCCAGCTGAAGCCACTGTATCTCTGAAGCCACCTTATCAGGCCTTGATGTGATGTACATGTACAGCAGCAGGAGGAGGCAGCTTTCTGAAAAGGATACCCCTATCTCACTCAGGGTCCCCTTTCTGCAGAAGCCCTCAGGAGGCCCCTGTCCCTGCCCCAACCCCTCCCTCCCTCTGTAAGAGTGCAGGCCCACCTTTACCAGAGTGGGAACAGAGTTGAGGTGCAAGGCTATCATGGTCCACTAGGAGGGAGAGCAGCTGGACAGCCAGCAGCACACAAGGCAGGGGTGTCTCTGGGCTGAGGCACCGTGGCAGCACTGGCAACACACACTGGAACCTGAAAGATGGGCCCAAAGAAATGTGACACTCCTTAAAAGGAGATCTGGTTCAGCCAGACCTTGGTTCAAATGCTGCTCCCTCTCACACTGACTACTTAGTATGAAGCTGTCTCATGTGAACGAATGGACACTACCTTCACTGCAGACTGCTATGGCTCAGAGATGATGGCCCTAACCTTGCACAGCAACACCCAGTAAATGGGAGAGGATTCCCTGGACCTGGGATGCCTGGCCTCTACAAGCTCCTGGTCTCTTCCCTGCCTATGCTCCCAAATAGGGATGCAGGGCATAACTTGGTAAGTTCTTGCTTACCACCACAGGACTCACCAGGACTCTAGAAGTGACAAAAAATGGACCAGGCTATGGCTGGATGTTATAAGGCCACTCACAGAGCAAGGAAGACCATTTTCTCTTCAGTAAACACTGGTCACCTCTGCTGTCATTGTGGGGTGTGCATGGGTAAGAGGCTCTGGGTATACTTTCTCCCAGGTCTTAGGGGGAAAGGGATAGCTATGACCAAGGGACCAAAGAACCAAGTCTCAAGGCAACTGCTGCTATTTGCTCAATCGCCCAGCCTGCAAGAGCATGACAGGGAACTGGCCTGGTGACTGGGGAGCCATCATCTAAAACACTCTGTGGGTTAGACTATATCTTAGCATGAAGATCAAGAATATCCCTCAGTATGTCACTATTTGGGTGAACTCATTTTATGGCATGTCCTGTAAGCATGGAAGAAGTTGCATTTTCTTTAGTTGCCAGAGACCCTGGAACTTTGTGGGAAACTGGAACTTAACCTGGTTACCTGCTCTCATTGTTCAGCTGCAAGTGGCCCTTAATTAGTCACTAAGGCTCCTGAAAGTATCTGCAAGAACAATTCACTTTTGTATAAAACACAGTGGTTTCCAAGTTATTTCTTGCTAGAACT